CAAGTGGGTGATGGGTATCTAAGTGGGATGGGAAACCCTACCTCAAAAGCTAGCTATTGAAGTAGGAGAACCAACCACTTATATACCCCATTGATCATCTCATACTACTCAATATGGGACTTGGTTTCCCATATTATCAAGTCTCTATCAATTGGCCCCATGAAAAGCCGACGTCCTGATGCCTGCACTCCACAGCACTTAACTCAGTCTCCTTCCGTCAGAACCCTCTGTGGGTAGCCCTTTTCGGAACCGCCAATAACGAGGCTCTGATACTAATTGATAGTATCTAAGTGGGATGGGGAATCCTATCTTAAAAGCTTGCTGTTAAAGTGGGAGAACCAACCTACTTATATGCTGCATTGAGCATCCCATACTATTCAATGTGTGACTTGGTATCCCATATTACCAACTCTCCATTAGTGTGCAATTCCTATTTGTAAAATTGTTGATTTAAATTGCTGGCAATCCTTATTTCGTTGCTCAGCAGATAGAGCTCTTTCGTGATATTGGGTATTGAAGTTCTTCTGTGATTTTGTGCATTTTGGTAATTGCAAAGTCTTCTGCACCCATCCATCATGCTTTTTATGGATTTAGTTACTTATCTGGGAAAAAAAAATTGGTGGTGCTGAAATTATCTGAGAAAGAAATAGCTACTGTGTCTGGATACTGATATGCAGAGACATTTAGAAGTGCAGCTCAGAAAACATAATTGTAACAAGTCTTCTCATCCAAATTCAAAAACAAAGAACCTATGTTTTGTACATATTATTGAAATTCAAAACAACTGTAAAATGAACATGCTAATGAGTAATTGAAAAGAATGTAAAAAGCTCTTCTGTATCCCCATGAGCCCACCAAAATATTGGCCATATCCTATATAGCTTCTTGATATATTTGTCCCTGTTTTCTCCTGTAACTAAGCAATCACGTGTTTAGTATTTAGGCTTTCTCTTCACCATAGGGCTCTGTAATTAACCGGCGCAAACTCATCTATGTTGCTTTTTTGATCTTGCTCAGCTATGTTGCTGGATTCAATCTTAGTGAGAATTTTATAATATGTGGTAATTTCATGAGGGCTTAATGAGATTCATGAAAAGTTGACACGTTTGAGACCACTAAGAATCTCCTTAACAGGAATGCTTCATGCCTTATATGGACAAATAGGGCTCGTTGATTAGCAACTATTGCGTGTGAAACTCACATATTATAATTTTTGAGTGTTAGATCACACTCTTAATTGGTTGATTCTTGACAGGTTTAATGGATTTGGAGTTTTTGAATCTGGATTCTTGCAAGATAGGTGATGAAGGGCTTGCTAATTTGACAGGTTCACATTTGCATTTCGTGTATTTCTCTTTTGTAGTTTTGGATGGCAATTGCATTGTTTAATTTACGTTGTTTAAAGGCTCATAGTGCTGTTCTCTTTCCCCTTTTTTTGTTTTTTTTTTTGTTTTGGGAAAGTCATGATCTTTTAATGTCATGGTTTTTCAATGTGGCAAAATTCTTAGTATGGTTTAAATCCTATTCAAGTGGGAAGAAAAGGTTCTGATTCTAGATTCAAATATGTGGGTTAGAAATGCCTCCTATGAAATGAAATTCACGATTAAATGTTCTTCTTTCAGATCTCAGTCATCTGAAAAGTTTAGAGTTGTCTGACACTGAAGTTGGGAGCAATGGGCTACGGTATATATCAGGTTGAATGATTTACTCCTATATCCAGTTATCTAGTCTGAAGCATATTTAAGCCAATAATAGCTTGCTAAGTGCTATTCAGATTGGCAAACAAAGCTTAAACCTAGATTTTAGATATGTTAATTAATACTGTTTTTCAACAATATTTTGTTAAAATACTTTTTGTGTGACTATGTATCCCACTGTTAAATTATTCATCCACTTTGAGTTGGGTGAACAAGTGCACATGCTGATGCATGTCATTCTTAATTTTATCCAGGTCTAAAAAAATTGGAAAGTTTGGATCTTTCATTTACCTTGGTAACTGACAGTGGCCTGAAAAGGCTGTCAGGTCTGATGTCTCTTAAATTGCTCAATCTGGATACGCGTCAGATTAGTGATGCTGGACTTGCAAAACTTACTAGTACGTATTTATGTGTTTTTGTTTTATGGTTTCGCCCATGTTCTATTTAGTAATGAATATTGGTGAGTTAGTGATACAAGATCTTGCAGGTTACTGCTAAATGATGAACAATGATGATTGTGACAAAACTTAAGAGGACCATGTTATAAAGAGGAAGAAGCTTTTATTTTTGTAAACTAAAGTACATATTCCTTGTGTTTTGTCACCTGCATCAACATCATCATCCTTCCAATTGAAGGTTTTTTCTTTTAAAGTTTCATTCTAACCTCTAATGTCTGTTTCCATATTGCAAGTAATTTTTCAATTTTCAATTTTCAAGTGTGATCAAACGTGGGGAAAATTGATGACATATTAAGGTGACACGTTAACATAAATATCTGTTTCTGCCTTGTTTCTTTGCCTGATTTTCTTTTTTTAAAATCTTATCAGCCTTCTAATTATTGACATATTAAGGTGATCTGTTAAGATGAATCTCTGTCTTTATTTATTTTATAAAGTAATGCCCCTTTTTTTTGGGCACTAACTGCAGCTAGATGGATAATTATACAACCCTCCGAATAGAAAAGAGCAAAAAGATTAATGAGCGTAGAATCTAGTAGTTCGTTATGCTTCCATCTGTAGTTGCGTTTTAGTCTTTGATATTCAACATATGCACATATCACTGGCTTATCTTTTGCAGGTCTGAGTGGATTGATAAAATTGGATCTTTTTGGAGCACGAATTTCAGACTCTGGTACAGCATATTTACGATGTATGAGTATATTAATCTTGACTTTCAGTACATGGTTGATTTCTTTCATCAATTATTTATCTTTGCATGGTATTACGGTAACAATAGAATTACATTCACTTGCCTGATTGAGTCACCGCTGTTGTCTGTAAAACAGACTACCAATTTCACTAGAGTTTTGATACTCAGAAAATTCAGCTCAACACTGTACCTTTTTTAACCTTAGACTGACTTCGTTCGTTGTGCTTGTTATCTGAATATGGCTGATTGACATGATGTGAAAATCTGGGCCTGCTTTATCTTATGCACGAAATTATATTGATACTTTAATTGCTTTTGTCTGTTTTATGTGGCAGACTTCAAGAACCTGCAATCCCTTGAAATATGTGGTGGAGGATTAACTGATGCAGGCATCCAAAATATTAAAGATATTGTCTCCTTGACACAGTTAAACCTGTCCCAGAATTGCAACTTGACAGATAAAACTTTGGAATTACTTTCTGGTATATTCTTATTCCTTTTGTTACATTGCATCTTGTAACATTGCATAAAAATGGTTTTCCTTATGTGACAAAACTTTAGTTCTGTTCTCTTTCTTCCATGGTTGAATGATACATAAAGTTTTGATTTCTGCTATTGCTTAAGGGCTCTGTTACAATGAAGGGCTTTATTCCTTTATTAATTGACCTCATGTTAACAGTCCTTTCCTCTCGGTATAGTATAACCATTGAAAAATGTGTGCAAGATTTTAAGTATCCTTTTATGCTTGACCTTTTGGGTTTGTCCAAATACAGGATTAACTGCATTAAGGTTACTAAATGTGTCAAATTCTCAAATAACCAATGAAGGACTACAGCATCTGAAGCCTTTGAAGAACTTACGCACTCTAAATTTGGAGTCTTGCAAAGTTACTGCATCTGAAATCAAGAAGGTGCAGTCAACTGACCTTCCCAATTTGATGAGCTTTCGACCAGAATAGACCATGAACACTGAGAATTCTCTCTCAGCCTGGGACAGCTCTCTGTACACATGGATGATTCTTAGCCCTTAATATTTATGAACGGCCATTCAGCAATTGAAGGTAAAAAGTTAATTCTCGTTAATGTACATATATGCAAGGATGTAATTATGCACGATAGTTTCTTTTTTCATGTCTTTCGTCCCATCTCTTTTGGAGGTCGATGCTCATTGGGCCTTTCTGTGCTGTCCTTCCACTGTGTAATAATGACATTCTGATGGAAGAAGTAAATGTTTTAGACGGTGCAGCGTACTCATAATAAAGTTAATTTCCTAGCGTAATTATTATGCAAGCTTAAGAGTTTCAGTTATCATATTTTGGCCGTGTTTTCCAGTCTGTGTACATGGGCATACAAGTAATGTTTCATTTATTTGATGTGATGTAATGGTCTTTCGTTGAGTGCGGTGATGACTTCTTACAAGGTTAAAAGCATAAATAGTTAGATTTGGATTTGGTAAATGGTACAAGTTCACTAACTCAATAAGTGTTTGAATTATAGTTATTAAATTTTATCAACATTAAATTGTCAATATATATTGCCTTTTAAAAAATTTAAAACAATCCTTGAAATCGGTACATTCATTTATGTATGTCGTGATCTTCTAAAATTTGAAATTGAGTACTTTCTAAAAGTTATATGATAATATGACAATTATTCAATTAAATTAAACAATTGTTATCTTATTATGTGAAACATTTATTGAATAAGTGAATGTAGGTTAAATTTGATCATTTTTGACACATTTTAAATCAAAAGATAAAGTTTAATTAAAGTTCTTGGTTGGTTGATGACAATCAATTTATCTAAAATTATGTATGAATTTTTGGCCTAAATCTTGGGTTTTTTCCCGCAAATATGATAAACAAGTAAGTGTGTTTCTATTTGTTTGGAGTGATGCTAAGTTATTGAAAACTAAATTTTCCCAGTAAAGATATGCACATAGATCTAGAACCCTCAAGAATTAAATGCTGCAACTATTTTCTTTCTATCCCCTTCAATTTATTTCTTCTTTTTAACTTTGATATCCAAAATTATAACTCAATGATAGTAAGTTAAAGCATCTAGTACAGTGAATATTTAAAGCTATTTTTCTTTGTGAAATAGGCTATGACTATTTAAACACGAGATTTTAAGTTTAAATTTGAACTCATGAGAATGTAGAAAGGCATCTTTGAAAAGCCACTTTAATTGAGTTTGCCAATAGTGGAATGACATTATAATACTGTATACAGACAACAAAAAATAACTAGAAACAATGACTTAATGAAAAGTTACAACTTGATAACTTACAGAACTAGAAGGCAAGCGAATCTCTTAACTGCTTTTGGTACAACATTAATATCCTAATCATTAAAAACTGACACTCCAACAGAACTACAGAAGTCAATGCACGTAAAGCAAAAACTAAAGACCTGTTTGGAAACATGAACAACCATTTGTCGTGTTTCCACACTTGTAGTAACTAAATATAAGTTGCTATAACTCCATATTCTTCCCAAAGTGTCATGCAAGACAAAGAACTCTTACGTTCTTGGAAATGGAACACCTAAGTGCACTGCAAAGAATAGCTCCTTTCTATAGATATAAAATTGACTCAACTCCTGTAAGTGACAAGAGAAAAATCTGCAGAGAAAAAATGAACCAAGGATGTTTTTAAGGATGTAAACAAGTGCTATCAAACAATATAGTGCTGAGCAACGGACTAAGTTGATCTGTAAGAAAATCCATCATTTCAACTGATACTGGAAACAAATGTTCCAGTGATTCCATGTGTTCAGGACCCAACTTCCAAAATGAAGAAAATTTAACTAATTATGTACATAGCAGAGCTATATGACACTAGCCATTCAAAGCTGTGGTATCAATTGTAGGAAAGCAACATAAATTTTCCATTTATACCATGAAAAAAGAAATTTGACATAGGCACAGAAAAAATTGCAGCGTTCCTGACAATTGTTGTTGAGCAAACAGAAATTAAGATGGATGCATGCTTTTATATTAGAGGCATATATGACAAATTTACACATGAATGATCAAATCTATAAGAAGCTTTTGCACGATGCTGTACAGAAATGAGCATGTCAGTGAACAAAACGTGAAGATTATTGAATGACATGGGCGATCAAATTTTCTAAATCATTGAGAAACCAATAAATGTGGGACTCCTAAACAATTAGAATTTCATTTTTGGAATTTCGCAGTTAAATTTTATCATTACATTTGGTTTCTAGGATCTTATCTTGTAATTAATATCAACTTTCAAAGTATTGTGTATAAAAGGAAATAGAGGACCGCCAAGGTGTGTGTGGTGCATTTGGTGCAAGCCATTCTGCTCATCACGTCCTTTTTTTTTTTTTTTGGAGTATAAGGGGAAGGCTGAAACCAGCTTGAAAGCTGATGGGATTGAACTCACAACCTCTCACATGTAGGAGCGAGCCTAATGCTACTGGGCCACATGGACCCATTCGTCACTTTTCTGTTTTACCCAGAATGCAACAATAGTAAACAGCAACAATTATGTTATCGATATGAATCTCGGTTACCTTTCTATGACAAAACAGCAATCCAAGCATGCAACAGCTACGTTAGTATTGGCTTTGTTGTTGCCCATCAACGTGGAGAATAGGGAGAAAATCATGCAAGCTCTAAGGCATGATAAATTTTTGAAGCTCGCCTTCTGAATAAGGGTTCCAAATGAACCGATGAAACTTGACTCTGCCACCTTCTAGCTTCATACATCTCATTCCAAGCTTGTACTATTTCATCAATGTTGAATCCTAGACCTGTTAATGAAGAACATTAATATATAAAAATTCATCTTCATTCAGATGCAAAGTTTCTAATTAATATGGACAAGTACCTTCTGCAGCAGTATTATTTGAACAGTGGTTCTTCAACATTACAGCTATATCCGTTGGAGAAGCTCCAGCAAGTTCAAACTTCTCAACTGCAACTTCAAGACATTCGTGCCATACTGGCAGCCCTAATTTGAATTCCATGATTGAACGCTCATATAGCATGGTACCCCAAAGGATATTTATTTGGGACCTCAAAGTTGCTGCCTGAGCTGCAATTTCTTCTGATGATATATTTTGCACTGGGCAATCCAATCCCATATTCCGTATATGTAATTTGATATCCTTTGATTGAGAATCTCCATCCAAGCATCTCTCTTCTGATTCTTCCCATATCTGCAATCCTTTCTCCATGTTTTCCTCAGCATTGTTGTAAAGTTGAAGAATGTCGGTAGATGGCCATGTTGCTAACTCAACATTCACGCTAATTGCATAATACCAAGAAAGTTTTGCTTGCTCAAACTGCTGTTGCCCAAGTGCCAGGAAGCCTTCATAAAAATCAGGTTTAATTTTAATGGCTTCTTCATATTTTTCTCCTGCACTTTTATATTCTTGCTGCACCCAATCATATGAATTTTTTATCTGTTCATGCAGATGCTCATTAGAAGTTTCTTCTGTGAAATTCACTTTCTTCCTTGCTCTGGACATGTGAACATTTCCCCAATTGAACAATGCTAAAGCTGCCATTTCTTGGAACTTAGCTCCCGCCATGTCAAATAGGCTTTGTGCTTCTTCACTTGTAACTGTCTCCTCCATAGCCTCGGAATACAGTTTCATTCCGAGTTCATGAAAATCTAAATATCTATCAGATTCAATTCCAACATAGTTCTTGAACAGTTGAGCAAATTGGATTATCCAATCCTCAATGCAAGATGACCTAATCATTTCCTCTTCTTTTACCACACAACCATTCTCATGTGCATTATCAATGACAGGCTTTTGCTCCTTCTTTTCATTAATTTTCTCAAACAATGGATCCTGCTCAGGATTGGCAGCCACTATGTATAGGCGGATAGAACTATCTGATCCAGCTGATCTTTCAGCCCATCGTAATTCTTCATCAGAAGTGATTGTGACTAAATCACCTTCTTGATCCCTGTATTTGACAAGAACTGCTCCTAGGCTTGGAAATCGGTCACTGATAACTTCCCTTAGGTGCTGGAGACTGCAGTTGACTTGCAATTCTGCATATCTAATGTCCTCACCAAAAACAAGTTTCACTATTTTCTTAGCTGCATCTTCCTTTTCTCTACCATTAAAATTTTCCTCAACAACCTCCTTTATATCGTCAGCCTTCTTCTCATCAAACTTTTCCTTGGCCACCTTCTTTTTGGATTTGTTCACAGCCTTCTTCTGCTCAACACTGTGCTCTGCCTTCTTGTCTTCCAACTTCTCCTTGGATTTGCTCACAGCCTTCTTCTTCTCAAAACTGTCCTCTGCTTTCTTGTCTTCCATCTTCTCCTCTGCGAGCTTTTCAACACCAACATTATCCGCATTCATCGACTCAACCTTTCGGCTCTTCTTGCGTTTCTTCTCTTTCACTACTTCTTGAGGCACGCAAGGAGGTTCAGCATGATCAGAAGGCAACTCAATTGCCATACCAGCTACTTTTAACCCCTTTTCCTCAAGTGTATTTTTCACCTTCTCCAAAATTTCCAATGCCATGATATTGTTTGGCTCCATCTTCAGTACAGTACTAACATCTCTCAGAGCTAAATCCAGACTATTTAAAGCCTCATAGCACCTTGCTCTCTTCAAAAGGGCTTTACTGTACTTTGGAGTAACTTCAAGAGCCAAATTGCATTCATGAATGGCCCTTGGATATTCACTGAGTCCCATCTGCATATAGCATGCGGCCATATAACTCCTCAGACAGGACACATCTATATGATTTCTTGGAAGCAATTTGATGGCTTTCTCATATTTTATGAGAGCTCCTTCATGATCTCTCTTTTGGAACAGCTTGTTCCCTTCACCCTTTAACTCTTGAGACATGGAAATAAATACCTCAGTGTCCTTATCATAAGCTTTGGAGCTGCTATCTCCTGCTTTACTTTGACTTCCACTGTTATCACTTGATTTTTCCGCAACTTGCTTCTTTTTGTTTCCCATTTGGACCCAGAAATTGAACAGTAAAGAACCTAACCCAGAAAAAATTGACACTGTACAAAAGATAATTTCCAATTGAAGTGCATACACAAGATAATAACCAATCCAAACCCCACTAATACAAGTCCTTCAGAGACAAGATAGACGAAAAGCTTCAGATATCAAAAGCCAACTAAATGATAGATAGAGCTACCAGATTTATACAGGCAAATCAATAGCATATATTGGAAAATAAACTTGGAAATCTTGAAAGTTCTGCTTCGGGAGACCGACTAGGCTGTCCTCTAGTAGTCAGAATGGTTGAAGTTTGAGAGAATCAGAACACAGACAATGCAAATAAGGATTTTTCCCCCTTTTTTGCTTTTCTCGAATCCAAACACAGAGAAGAACAACACAAACCGAATTCTTTCTTTTTTTCTTTTTGGTTTTTGACCAGCTCGCAAGTCGAATTCGAAAGCAAACGGATATTACTATCCAAACCTGACAACCCACTGTGATTCTATCGGGAAAAAACTTATCTGAGCGACAAATTCTGGGAGAAGCTCGAAACTTTAACCGAGAAAACCGAGGAACAAAACATAGACAAAGCGAGAAAGTCTGGGGAGAAGACAATGGAATGTGAGGAATGGAAGAAAAGAAAAGCGACCCACGTTGTGCTGGTCCTTTTGTACACTGAAAGATTTTTCCAATCCTTGACGTAAACGCCACAGAAGCAGAAAATACAGAAAACGTACGCCAGTTTTTCGTTTATCAGAATTTCGTGGAATCCATTATGTTTTTTTCCCGTCCTCGTGTTCTTTTACTTGTTAGCAGAAAATACCTGTTATATCACTTGTGATTGTATGGTTTTCCTGTTATTCTCCAATATTTTGAAAGGGCCAAAAAAAAAAAAAAGTGGGTCCCATTTCCTTGTGAAAACTGAAAAATAGTTTTTTGACAACCTTTATGAATTATGTTGTTTTAATTAATAACCTTAATATATAAGGTGATGTAATCTTATCGTCGATAGGCTATTCTTGGCCGTTGGTGTCTCATAAAGTTAATCATTGTTTTGTTTGTTTTTTTTTTTTTTAACTCCTTAGGTTCCAGTCTTTTCTACAATCACAATTGGCAACATGTACTTCCATTAAAAAAAAAAAAATGCTATAAAGCAACAAATGAGACACTCCATTTAAATCCTACGAAGCTTTGATTCAATTAGTTGAGGTTATACCATTTAATTAAAAATCTTGAGTTGGAATCATAAGAATGTAGTCATGTTAAATATTTAGTAAAAGAGTTTTTTTTTTTTTTATGATCTTTCCAACTTGATTCAGATTAATTTAAACCTCATTAAAATCCTTCAATTATAACAAGTAAGTTTATAATAAATTTGGATTTAGTGACCAGTATAAATACACTAACTCAATGAATACATTATATGACACAATAATAACTGTTCAATTTAATTAAATTATTATTAAATTTTTTATGATATTAAGGAAAGTTCAAATCTCAATATTTGGAATAACAACAGGAGTGTTTTTTATTATAATATTTCTCAATAGACAGATATTAAAAACAATAGACGATTTTAATATCTTTATAAAATAATATAATTGATGTAATTTTTTTATTATATTATTTCTCAAATGTCTTATATAAAATATTAGAAGAATTACATTGAACCCCTTTTTAAAAAAATTTATCATAAATAAGAATCAAAACAAGTCCCATTCAAAAAAAAATAAATCATATTTTTATTTTAATAATAATTTATTTTTTATTAATTTTTATCTGTGATAAATTTTTTTAAAAAGAATTTTCTGTGATTTTTTCAAAAATTTTGTGAAGGGGGATAAAATATTCGTCAGAGAAGAATCTAGGAGAAGTGTAGAACAAGAAATTTGGCTTTTTTTCACTACCTCCTCTCTCCACTTCTTCTTCACTTTTTATCTCAATCGTTAGATTTATTTTTAAACGGTTGAGATTTAATATTTTATAAAATTATTATTAAAATATAAAATTTTATAAAAAATAAATATAATAATAATTTTATAAAATATTAAATTTTAACTGTTTAAAAATAAATTTAACAATTGAGATGAAAGGTAGAGAGAAAGTGAAGAAGGAAAGAAGTGAAGAGAAACTGGCACCCACAAGTTGTAGGCAAGACAAAGCTGTTTTATTTATTTAAGAAATAGTGGACGACCTTTATTGGGACCCACATTTTTGGTATGGAATGGCCGCCGGAGACATTAGCGGCGAGTACCACGTGACCGAAGCAAAGCCTAGCCAACGAACCAGTGTGGCCCCCCTCAAGTGTCAGTCAGATTGTCACAAATCGTCAACTAATTTCCCGTCGTTCCACTTATCACTCAATTTAAGATTAAAATTAAGGTTAACCAATTCACACATTTAAAAAATAATATTATTTAATAGAGATTTTTGCAGATTTAGTATATATTATAAAATTAAATTAAGTAAATAATTTAATATTTATTATATTTTGTATTATGATTAATTTGTTATATTTTTAATAATATACTTCCTCCGTTAAAAAAATATAAATATTTTTAACTGAATTTCATCCCAATAAAATAGTTATCTATTTTTAAACTAACTTTATCTTTTCATATTTATTTCTATTTAATACTCTATAATAAATATAAAGTCATTATCGTATTTTTGAAAAAAAATAATGATTACACCTCGAAAGATTAAAAATTTCTTATATTTTTTAACATTTAACTCCTCAAAAAATACGTTACATTTTTAAATGAAGTAAGTAAGTTGTATATTAATAATAAATCTCTTATAAATTTTTAAAATTTTAATGATAAATTCTCTGTATATTACTGATAAATTTCTTGTATATCAATATGAAATAATTATATTCTCATACTTTCAAAAATTTGATCCATATTTTTTGAATATAAGATTTTTTTTGGATCTAGTGAGCCAATTTATTATTTTTAATATTATAAAATAATAAATATATCTTTATTTTTATCCTTAATTTTAAATAATAATATAACTACATTAAATATCTTTATATTAATAAAAAAGATAAAATAAAAAATAATTTAATTATTATAATATGTCTAACATTTTAATCAAAAATTATTTATGGAAGGTATTTTACAAATAGACCAGGAGGAGTATATCTTTTTATTTCTTTTAAATATATCAATATCAAAATTAAAATATTTATGACTAGTTGTCTTACTAATAATATTAGCTCTCTCGTTTAAAAGAGACTTGAGTGTGCGCGTGTGCGTATGTCCTTCTTTTAGTTTGAGGAATGACTAGATTAGAGGTCAAATTTTAAAAGCATCCAAATTAAAAAGTGAAAATAATTTTATTTTAAGAAGGTTTTGACGGTGTTTATATGAATATATAATCTTGCTTAACCACAAAGCTCTCGATTTCAGATCAAGATTTACCACATTTCTTACCGAATAAATTATTACACATACTCAAAAATTTCTTTGATTGGACCATTTGCTTGTGGATTAAAGCTTTAAAGCTTGATATTTTATATTTTTTATTTAAAAATAAAATAAAATTTAAATTCTATTACGTCATTTAGGTGATTATCTTCTAAAGACAAGATAAATGGATAATTTCAAAAAGATTCCTTGCCACTCTCTTTTTTTTTTCTTGTGTTAGCCTTTTGGACTGAGATAAATTTAATTTCGTTAGGCCTATGGCCATGGGCCCATGTAATATTTAAAAAAGAACCAAAAAGCTGGGGGATAATTGCTGGATGTGAAAAATATCTCAAGTTCTTAACACTAACAATGATTTTTCTATTGATACATGTTGGCTCAGGTGATAAGAGATTTGAGTTCTCTTAACCATGAGCTCTTAAGTTCAATCCTTAAGATGATGTGAGTGAAGAAAATATGTTTAGGAGAGCCATCTCTTTTAAGGCCCCATAATGCTCGAATTTGGATTAGTCGGGACTGTTAGTAAGGGTGAGCATTTTACTTGTGTAACCATGTACCCACCCAACTGATTGCTAAATGGGTCAATCCACACCCTTAAAATGAAGGAGGAAACAAGTACAAGGGGCGCCTACTCACTTGGCAAAAAATGAGGGGTAATGTGTAAGGGCTCAAGTGGCTTATATCTGCCTGTATATGCATATTTTTTTAAAAAGTTTGGCCATTTTTTAATCAAAACCTCTTAACCCACTCAGTCACTCATTGATCTCACCTTATGTCCCTATCACTCAAGCCTTAACTTCATCAATTAATCAAATTCAATATCCTCCTTTGTTGTTTAAGCTTTAAGTTGAGAGAAACTTCACCCATTCACCTTATCTTCAGCCCGTACCTATATGACCTTTAGAGTTTAGCCTCACTCTTGCCTTCGCTGACCATAGTCGCATGATGGTGACACACAATCACACTTTGCCCAACCAAGCAGAAACATCTGCACAATGACAACACAAGATGCAGCACATGGACTCAGCCTAAGATTGTAGTCACACACTCATACTTTGCATCCCTCTTCTTGCTTCTTCTTGAAGTCTCCTCCCTCTACCTGCATTGTCAGCCTTCCTTCCTTGGTCGGGTATTTATTGCTCGGTTGCCCCCTCCCTCCTTCTTATACTCTTTTGCATCCTACTTCTTGAATATGTGATTTTAAAGGAATAAAATATTTGTGATTTTGTGTTGTGTATAGTTGGTGATATAGTAACAATAGAGATTGAAATTTTCTAAATATATGATTTCTTGATTATGTTTGAATTTGATCAGAATTTGCTAGATATATAAATTGATACATTTGAATGCATTGATACAACCACAATGGTGATAGTTCCTTTATTTTGGATTGAATTTGCTAGACACATAAATATGTGGTGCTATAGGTTAAACAAGTGGCCCATTCTCGCCTATTCTTGCTTTAAAATTGATGCAAGCAACTGCATGCAAGTATGGGCGGGTGGCCACCTGTTTAACAAAAAGCAAGGGTATGTAACAAGTAAGGCTATAGGTGGCTTGTATTCATCCATGTACAGCCTTAGCTGTTGATTTTGGATATCAAATGGTTATACAAAAAAAAAAAAGAATAATGATTTTTCTTACTAATGCATATTGGCTCAAATAACAAGAGATTTGAGTTACTTTAATAATTAACTCTTAGGTTCGATCCCTTAAGTGACAAGAATGAAGAAAATATGCTTGGGACAGCGATCCCTTTAGGGCCTCATAATGCTCAAATTTCGAACAGTTGAGGCTGTCGGCTTCAAATATTGAATGATTATACCAAGAAAAAAATGACTTTTCTCTTAAAAAAAACCTATGATTTTTTACATTTGATTAAAATGTTAAGTAATTTACGTATTGCAACCAAGTACTAACCATGCCCAATCACAACTCCATTAACTAAATTTGTATTCAATTGCCAAATTCATCTATGAGCCTAGAAATTGTTAAATTCAATATAAATATTGCATTCAATTTCATCCTGGAGTAACTATTTATATTAAGCAAATAATAAATTTTTATATTTTAATTTCAGATTATATTTTTTTACCTTTAATTTCAGATTATATAATATTACTTCCATATCAAATCATGAGACACTTTTGGAATAGATTTAACATTTTAAAATATAAAATATTTTAATAAAAATAAGAGTTCATTAATGATATTTTTTTAGCATTATCCTTATCATATTTTATTTTTTTAATTTTTTATTTAAAAAGGTAAGATTGCAAAATGTATTTAATAAATTTTATTAATATATATAATTTTATTTATAAGTATTTTATAAATTAAAATGGAAGAGTACTCCTTTTTAAAGTAAATATTTTATGCATCCCAACCCAAATAAATCTCAATGAATCAATCATTATATCATATCAGATTTAGAAAGAACATAACATAACTTTAAATATTTGTACTTTGTGTAAGTTTTATTATAGATATTACATTTTTTTAATATTTTAAATTTTTATTTTTTAATATTCTAAATCCATTTATGAACAGTATTATAAAAACTTAAAATATTAAAAAATAAAAATGTAAAAATTTATAATATTAAAAAAAAGACAGGGATTTATAATAAAAATTCAAGGGTTTGTTTTTCTTAAAGTTTTATAATACGTTACACTTTTTTTGCGATATAACTTTGTATAACGTGGCAAGCGGTGATTGGCATACTTGCGTGGAAGTGAAAGGGAATACCTCCACGGTGTTTTCTTTGCCCGCAGGGAATTGTTGATCGCCGTCTCCGGTTGATTCAGCAGAATCAGTCAGCTTACAATTTAGGACTAGCAGCTTTCGTTTTCCGATTTCTGATTCCATTAACCCTAGCCGGAACGAGATGAAGGCGCTCTTCTTCATCTTGTTATCTTTCACCGTTTTTAGCCATGTATTAGCCGACCAGATCTTCCCAGCTCATCTCGGTAATCCAACGCTCATGCCCATCTTTTTTCCTTGAATTTGGATTCTTTTCTCTGTTGGTTACTCAATAATTTGGCTTCCCTTTCACTTGTCTCCGATCATCAAATCCTTGCTTTATTCTAGTTCTTGATGATTCAGCGTTTTACTTGCTCTGTCAACAATTGGCTTCGTTGTTGCGTTTTTTTTTTTTTTTTTGGGGGGGGTGTGGGGATGGTTCTTGCCTTTAGATCAGGGAACTTGAGATGGTCAAGTTTGTTATTGTGAAATTGAAAAATAGGCGATCAAATTCATGGACTCTCTTGGTAGGAAAACAAAAGAGGGATTTAAGAATCGCCTTCATTCAGTTGACATTTTGTGTAAGAAGAGCTTCAAGCTTCTGTTTATGGAAATTAATGTTATCCTTAGGACGTTCAGTTGCGGCTTTTTTTTTTGGTTTTGTACCATGCATCTAGCCTTATTATGAATGACACGTTTGTTTTCTGCACTCCCGTTAAAGTGATTCAAATTTGCTTCAAAGATCTCTTCCTTGTTGCAATTTGTTGTTTCCCGTCTTTTTCGAACTTTTCATTACCAAATGCTAGTTCCAATTTGGTATGGAAGTACCGATTACTCTAGTATCATCATATTGTGAAGGATGAGGTCCTAGTGCTGATGCAACAAATTGCAATATTATACTCTGTGCTCCTGATTTTCCATATCTTATCTAAGCTTAATCACTAAGACACTAACTGAATTGTTAATAGGTGGCACATTAGGTCGCAGCTCTCGTGAACCAAAGTACAAGATTGAATTCCATCCAGAAGATTCTCCTTTTCATCCTGTAAGCTTGAAATAAATTCATATTCATTTGCTATTGCCTTTCTATGGGTTATTTATCTCTTGATCATTCTATAACGCCTTTTCTGTATGAGAATTCAAATTGAATGCCATCATTTGCAGGATGTTTCTTTACATTTTCGTATCCCTGTCCTATTGTTTGTGTTTTAGTTTTGTTATTCTTGTTTAATTGATGAGGATAAATCATAACATTGTGCTCAAACCCCCTACCTCCAACTCCAAAATCTTACCCCTTGTTTCTTAAAGCATTGGTGATACTTTGTTAACAGGATGATGACCAGGAATCTATAGTCATGCCAGATAAAAATGGACAGAAATTTATTTGCTTCTTGCCTAAGGTGGAGAAGGAAAAAAGCGGAAGGCCAGTTATCCAGCACAATATTAGCAGCATGATTGTTGAATCTGAAAAAAGGGTTAAATTAAAGACGCCAGATGAATTGTTAGAAGTATTAAAGGATCGATGCTTTATCAGAGTTAGTATATATCAATTTTTCCTATTATAGGATATCTATTTTAAATCATTTCCTTACATTGATAATATGTTTGTGCAGCAAGAAGGTTGGTGGTCATATGAATTTTGCTATCAAAAGAAGTTGCGGCAACTACATGTGGAGGATGATAAGGTAAGCTCTAGCCTTTCATTCTATTTATATGAACTCATCATTGCTTTTCACCCTGGCGAGTGACAGGAGACAATGAATTGGTGACAGGAATTAAATAAATAAACAAGTTTAAATTAATTCACCCGCAGTTGCATGAGAACTTATTTTTTAAGGGTTGTTTTTTTTTTTTTTTAACTAGTTAGATCAGATCGATATAATAGAATTATATTTTTGGCCATAACATTTGCTAAACAGATTCAATCTTATTACTTGCAGTGATTCTTGACAGTAGGAGCCTGTTATTCATATCAATTTCCCTACAAGACATTAGTATCTGTTCACAATGTTCTTTTAGCAGTTCTTTTTTGTATTGTCATCAACTTTCTTTAAAGAATATTTGATTTGTAGATCCGATTTTTAATAATTGGATGGATTTGTCTGTCTCAGGTGGTCCAGGAATTTGTACTGGGAGAGTATGATGAAGAGGCCACTGCTGCCTTCAACCGAAATCTTTCGGACATTTCTACATTGAAGGATCCTCGTTCCCAAGATGCATCTCAAAGGTACCTGCTCCATAATTGCGTATAACCAAGCAACAAGTCTGGCTGATCTCTGAGAATTGTTTCACATGTTATAGGATGATGGAATAAATACTCATGTTTATTAATATTTGTATTATTCACGCAGGTATCACGCTCACCAATACACAAATGGTACTGTATGCGACCTTACAAATAAGCCACGAGAGACTGAGGTAAGAAATTAAAGAAATCTGTTCTTCTTTTCTCTCTTCTACAAGCACACTGATTTCATATTTTGACAACAGGTGAGGTTCGTATGCTCAGAGCCAAGAGCAATGATTAGTTCAATCACAGAGCTTTCCACATGCAAGTATGCACTCACAATTCAATGCCCTACTTTATGCAAGCACCCGTAAGTCCTCTCTTCCCCTCCCTCTTTTATTGGAGAAGTGCTATGTTACCACTTGTATTTGATGAGCTATACGATGTTTTATTTACGTATGATTTTAATTTACCGGCGCAGATTGTTTCAAGAGGAGAGACCTGTGTCACACACCATCAACTGTAATGTGCTTCCAAAGGATTACAAGGAAACTAAAGTGGCGCAAGACGACAAATTACCGAGATTGTTATGGTCACAGATACAGAAATTAATGATTCAGAATAATGATGTAAATAGACACAATTAGTGGTAGACATGTAATTTGCAAACAGGTCCTCTTTCGAATGGATGGATAGACAGATCCCATGCTTTTTTTGGCTGTTATAATATCAGATTTTCAGAGGCATAGTTGATCTTGAGAAGAAGACTGAAGAAGTTTTGAAGACTTGTGGAAGTATGACCTTATGGTTGGAATGTTAGTGAAAAGTCTTGGTAGGTAAGCATTTGCTGTTTTCTGGATTCACTCTCGAATATACGTAATCGATGAAGGGGGCAAGTGAACAAGTACTATTGTTCAATTCATATATTGTAATATAAATATATACAGTAACTAAAAAATAACAACAACAACAACAACGTAGTTAAAAGATAACACTCAAAAAAATTGTTAAAAAAGATCTTTTATTAGTAATATATCTAAAAATTTAATTTTGATAGAGCATAATGATGTCATATAATCTATTTAACCAATGTTACCTATTATCATAAAACTGTTTGGTGTTATCATTGTATACCTACCAAAAAATGTCATTATTTTAACTCTGGAAATGTTTTTCTTTTTCTTAATAAATTGTGAGGCATGCCATAATATCTAATGTGCAATCATTTTGAAAAATTCTGGCCCAAAAAAAAAAATCATCAAACATGCATTGTTCCTCAAAAGGTGCAAGAGAAAGGGGAACATGATTGAAGTTAGATTATCACTGAAAAAGGAAGTTCCATGCATCTCTAAATATCCAATTTTTCAGCTGAAGCATTCCCAAAAATCATTTTAATTAAAAATATATAGAGACGACCATTTTCCTACAAGGAAGAGCAAGATGCATATCTTTACTGTATTATACTATTATTTACATAAACTAAGCATTATTCTTCATAGCCATCTTCTTACTGGGAAGGCAACTTTTGCCCACTGCTGCTGGCTGCTGACTCCAGCAGAGAAAGATATTCTTCTATGGCTCCCCCTTCTATATTAACTTCGACATCATAGTCAGCCAACGCATCAGCTTTTGCTATATCTGCAGAAAGTTCATCTTCCATTTCCACATCTCGGTCCTCTGCTTTGCTGAGATCAGCCAACAGACCTTCAACGTCCTCGGCTAGGCCTGGAATGTTAGAACCAATGTTGTCTGGCGAGGGAGCAGAAGAACTCGAACTGTTAACAGTTGAATTGGCCTCGACTTGTGTGTTTTCCTCAGCATGTGCGGTCAGTCTTTGCATTATTTGATCCAAAGGGCCACCAATCTCGAAAGCAGATACCACTGCCAACAAGAAAGCAATATCAGAACCTGGTACAACATATGTATAGCATGGCCATCCTTAGAAGCTAAAAAACTTTAGTACCTTTTGATCTTTCAAACCCCATGCGGACAAAATTTTCAATTTGAGACTCTGTTGCTTGCCTCAGTCTTTTCCTTTTCCTTGTTTCAATGTGAACCTTCATATTGTGAGAGTAATTAGCAGAACTGTTTGAAGTCATAACATGCAGACATATAGATCCTAACCTGTATAGCAGAATTAGTTTCTGGATTTGTCAAATCATTCAATGCCTCATCAAAATCATTTTCGTTTCTTCGAAGAGCTTCAGCAGCAAGTTCCTTCTCAAATCTACCAGAACCAGAAGCATAGAGCTAGATTAGTTTAACAAGGAAATTCTGTGGAGTAACATTTTTATTTGTAGACATCAACAATAATTAGTGAGAAAATGTAATGCAACGCTAGATGTCACAACAAGAATAAGCTAAAAAGTAAATTCACTTAGCCAAACAAACTTTTCCCTAAACTCAACTCTCCTATGATTATAGAAATTACATGTATCCTGTGACTTTGAGTTTTCACAAGAAATATGCAGCATTTTGTCTGGATAAACTTTAAATGAGGGCCAAATTGTTGATGAATGTTTAGAATAGAAGATGTTAGTGTAATTTTGAAACAAGACAAAGAGATGAGTTCAAGTTTAGCATATCTCCAGATGTCAAACTAATTTTCTCTAAATTTACAATAAAAAGTGTCACATAATTGGTACCATCTAGTTATTGATGTTATCACCGACCAAATATATGATTTTATTATGACATAGGGCCCCTACAAGAATAACCTATCAATTACTGCTTGATCCCAAAAGCTGAAGTTGTCCAAGTAAAGGTATTGGTTTTATTAAAATCTCTACTGCACTCTCATTCACATGAAAGTGCTTGAGTTTGAAGTGGCAACAAGATCAAGCCTATGACAACATGGTCATAGAGGCTTTAACATCATGTCAAGGATCACTTCACCTTAAAAGTTTAGTTACTAAGTGAAGACTAATAGGATTTGATTGGTTTCATTAATATCTTTAGAATGATCAAAGCAAGATTAACTTAGTACTCACCCCAAAGAGACCAAATCCTTCAACTTCTGCAGATCCACAGCTTTCTTCAAGGGAGTCAACCCATAACGCTTTTGTTCCCTGCATTTTCATTTTCTCAGAGGTGCCACAAGGCGGAATGATATTAAGCATGATATATCACAGAGAATATACAAGTCAATAAGCATCATGTGACTTGCCTAATTTCATCTCTTCTCCTCATATCTTCTTCTCGTTTTCGCTGTTTTTTTGCCTTCTCCTCCTCAAGAAAATCAATGGCACCTCCCACATCTTGATTGTTCATCCGTAATGCTCTCTTTGCATCACGCTCTTTGAATCCCATGCTCATAACAAATGACAAGACTTCATCTGACACTTGCAGCTGGAAAAATGCACAAGTTTGTTTCTAGGTTGAGAGATGAAAGAAATGCATTAAAAGATTCTAATAACATTAATTCACTCATAAGTCTACTAAAATTGATGTATTTTTCAAAACGCTAGGACCAAACGATGTCAATAAACTTTTAAGGGTTAAATTGATAACGACAGTATCTTTCAGGGACAAAATATGATAGTTTGCTAGAATTAGCTAGACTGTGTCTCATTTTTCCTTGGGGGCTACGCAAGGAGAAAAAATCAGGACATCTTAAATCATAAAAAATATGAAGGCTGACTGTAACAAGTTATAATGCAAATGAAACACAGAGACTGGAAAAAGAAAAATAGTTTTGTAAGATAAGATCTCGCTGTTTTGTACCTGCATGAATTTTGCTTTTGCAGAGGTCAGCACATCTCTTGATTTTTCCACCTTACCATTGTGATAAGCTACCACCCCTTCAAGTAGCTCTAGTCTCAAATGCCTATTTACATAGTGCTTGAAATTAATCTACCCCATACAGTAGCACAAGAATATTGTAAACATTTCAAAGAAGCAATCAACTGAACAGTGTATGCAAACTACTCACAGTGCAAGTTCAGGATAACGACCTCCCTGTAGAACTCTAAGGCGCTGGGAATCCTTTCCATGAGCACGTTCAATCCCAGCCCTAGCCATTTCAAGACGCTTTCCAGCCTCTGATAGCCATCTGATATCTCGGATCATAAAGTAGCACCACACCATGTCTATTTGCAGTATTGGGACATTGTCAACAAGCTGAATGGATAGAAAGGCAAAAATATTTCAGATCCATAGAAAAAGTATTGTAGGAAATTGTATTTGAAGAAAATCCAGCCAAGAAAAAAAAAAAAAAGAGCTTTATTGCGGGCTCAAATAAATTTAATAACCTTGGAAGAGCACATCAACAGTTATAACATGGAAGTAAAACCTAAGAAACGTGTTATCAGACCTTACTGCAGAAGCTCCGCACTGCAGCAACAGCAGACTTTCTTTTGAAAGAAGGGAGAGTTTCAGAGAAGCAAATTTTCTTATTTAAGTATAGTAAATTATTTCCTACATAGTCAACACCTTCAATAGAAGAAGCATGTTTGCAACAAACACTTCAGCAAGAAAAAGCTCAATATTGACTTTGGTCAAATATCAGCATAAGAGGCAGCTTGTACACAATTTCAGTTAATTGACCACATAACTCTCTTAATCCATGATTTGGCAAGATACAAATTCCCTGACAATAATGTGGATAAAAACTGCATCACTCACCTCAATGACCTTTGGATCACAAAGAGAGAATGCCTCCTGAAAAGGAAATCAAGTATTCTTTTGATTATTACATGAAAAAACAGAAAAGGAATTAAGCCACATCAGTTAACATATAGAGGTAAGTATAACTGTATAAGGCTAGATTAACACTAGAGAAATGTATCAAGAACTGACCTCACCCATAGACAGCACTTCTAAAGCATCATTGTAGTTTTTCTGTCTAATAAGACGTTTCCCATTTGCATGAAGCATCAGTCCCATCATTACTGCCCTGCAAAATGATAGCTTGACCCTTATTTTGATGATTAAAACAGAATCTAAAGCCCTCAAGCAACTTTTTCATCTAAATGAATTTGCTGAAATGTCACAAGTTCCATAGTCCATACCTCTGATCAGTCTCAGAACCTAACTGCACTTTTTGTCCACTTTGATCTTCAACTTCTATGTTGAAGTCTTCCATAGGTAATGAACCATCAGCATGCCTTTTGGCGAGTGCTGTGGCAGCTGCCCTGTTTTCAAGATATGCAAGTCAGCCACAGAAATTAAAGATGAAAAGATGAATAAAATTAAAGGAGAAAATTTTGCTAGCCAAAGCCATTAGCCGAGGGTAAAGGGCATTACATAGTGAGGTGATCGGCGCAGTAGTTGGAGCACAGATAAAACTTGATTGAAATAAACATAGAGGGCAATTTTAAAATATTAGCTCCCATTGTTAATGAATCATAAAATATCATGGAGTAGCTTGAAAACTCTAACTCTAGGGTGTGGATTAATCAAGCCAGAAATCTATAACATATTAGAGTAAGTTCTCAATCAATCTTCCGCAAATCTAAGGTACCAATATTAGTTTACATGTTAGTTCCTCGCAAACGGCACCTGGAGGGTTTGACCAAGACACTACCCATATGCCACTGGAACCTCAAACTGGAGTCATGGACCACTCCTAACAGAACACATTAGATACAAATTTAAATGAAATTCCAGAACAAACCGCTGTAGGAAACTTCACAAACCCAAGCAACAGAAAATAAATCTTTATATGATTTCTAAGCAACACCCGGCAACAGTCTCAATTAATACATTCCTTTGACAACACGATCACCGTCAAATTGACAATAATTGAACAGTTAAAAAAATGACAAACATCAAAACACTTGATCAATGCAATCCACGGAGCATGTGGCAACAAGCCAGAAATCAGCGACCAGATGGGTGAGTCAACGAAATTCAAGGGCACAAAGTTGGAATATTTGTTCCCACGAACTGAGCAATATTGTTCCACTAAAATAGAAAGCAAAGGAATAAAATTAAAATTAGTCATGTACTTGACTCGGGAAAGTCTGCGAGTCCGTTCTTCCTCAGCCATCAAAACCTTGCCTTCTTCAGCACAGACACGGCTCGCAAGAATTTTGGCATTATTTTTTATACCCATTTGGCTCAATTTCTCTTGGCCATCGCCGTCTTTCAAAATTTTGCCAGCACATATCAAATTGATGGAGTCGACGCCACAGTTGGATCGCTTGGCGATTTCTTCCCTCAACATGGGTAGCGTCCAAGTCTCGAGTTCAACCTCTAACACTCCTGCCCATGTACCGGCAATCTTCAGTTTCACCATCGTAGAGCACACAGAATTTGGATATAGGAACAACTCTAAGTGTAAACTGGAGACGAGGACTGCGATGAACCGATGATTCCAATTATTCTCCTAACTCTCGTTCTCTTGTATAGCCTGTGAAAAGCATACGTGGAAAGTACCGGAATATTGAAAATTCGTAAAGGATTTCTTGGTAACGAAGTTAGGGGTAACGCTAATTTAATTATTAATTAGTATTGATATAGTGGGATAAAAGATAATAAAAATTTTAATACATTACGTTTGAAAAATTATTAGTACCCCAATTTTAATTCTTATCATTTTTTTTATTGTTACTATGATATCACAAATTTAATCTAAATTAATTTAATTGGCAGCTTACAAATATATTTTAAAGGAGCATACTTTCCATTAAGAGTTTAATCATTATTACATGCTTATAGTTTGAAAGTATTTGATGTTTCATAAATTTATCTAAGTAACTCTTAATTTTATGAGAGAAATTAATATTGTTAAATTGCGTTGATATGGCTAACGGAATGATAATGTAGCAGTCATTTTAATTAGTAACGTGTAAAACAAAGGTGCTACCTTTGATAAGGAAAAAGCAACATATTTAAAGGGTGGGGGGGGGGGGGGCGCGGGGGAGCCACGCTGACAAAATTAAGAGTTATAAAACATAACATATCAGCAATTAGAACTAATACATTTGGCTTGTGTATATTAATTAATTCATGTATATATTTCACGTACCAGCCTAATTTACACATAAATTTTTTAGGGCTAATTTTTCTTGCAAAATTTAGAGAATTAATTTCATAATTGAACCAAGCATTGAGAATTGAAATGATAAAAAAAATTACATTTAAAAGACTAAATCAATAAATTCATATAAAATTGCATTATCCATTAAATAAACTTATTAACGTTTGATATCTATATAAATTATCTTCTTTCCTATAAATTCAATTACAATCCCATGATTATCTTGGCCATAACAAACATTTAGATAGGTATCTAGATTTAGGACCTGTTTGTTTTAGCTTATTTCATGAAAAAATCACTTATTTTTTTAAAAAATTTATTTTGTGAGTTTTATGACATTTTTTTAAATTTTTGAAAATAATCAAAATTAAAAAAACATATTTTTTATTATTTTAAGAAATTACTTTAAGTAGCTTCTGAAAATAATCTAATACGATAAATGAGAAAGAGTGTTTTAAAGAGGTAAGATACGCAAATATATCATAAAATTTTAAAATAATATAATAATAAATTATTTTTATAAAATAAAAATCAAGAAAGATATCATAAAATAAAAAAATAATTAAATAATAATCATTTTTTATTAGTATAATCAAATATAAAATAATGTCTGTTTTTTATAAAATCTCTAAATTACCTAAAAATTACTTATTTTTTAATTTTAAGCAAACCGGCCCTTAAATTACTTCTTTTCAATTAAATTAGGGCAATCCTTTAATTTATCTAGTAAGTTGTAACTAACCTTTTGTTTTTCATATGGTTAACTTTTTTAAATTTAAAAAATATTTTTATAATTTAACTAAATGTATAATATAAAGTTAAATATATAATTTTTTTAAAATTTTCCTCATATATTTTCAACTTGCCAAAACTTTGAGGTTATATATATATATATATATATATAACAATCTTATGTTATTTTAAATTTGGTGACCGTTTTGGAGTAAAAGTCCAATAAAAATAAAAAGTACACTTACAAAAAGGATACCTATGATTGTCTGGCAAAATAGAATTTAAAGAATAACAATTTTTTATTTTACAAAATAAAAAGGAATTATGAACTATGAAAAATAGTAATTCAACATTTGTGTCATATTTTACTTGATATTAGACTTACCCAAAACTTTGAGCCTCTATGCTAGTTTTTACAAAAGGGAAAAAAAATAGAGCCACAATAGCATGAGTCTCAAATCAAACATGAAAATTATAACATAGTGAAGTGCTTTTTAATCTATCAAAACAAAAGCTTCAGATTATTATAACTAGACTATATTTTGGCTAGGTCACCAGCATTGTACAAAGCTAAGCTAATTGGAAGTTTTATTGCTTTTGAATCCTTGTTAACAAAGCTAGCTTCCACTAGTTTGTATATTCAAATAAATGCCTGCTATTTGCCAAGAATTTGTAGCTCAAATGGCTTGTTCTCTCTCCTTGATACAAGGGGCCCTTAGATCAATATCCAAGTAGTTCAAAATGAAAAAAAATGTGCGTATGGTGGGTGATGCGTGTGTTGTGTGTGAGACTTATTTTTTTTTGTGAGGAAAGCTATTCGTTTGTGAATAACAAATTATCAAGCGTGCCAAACTCTTTAGTTATTAGACCCAAATAACTTTATGACCTATCCAATGCTTTAGTGAGCGACATTTCATATTTTAGCCCAAATAAAGGGTTAGATATGATAGGAAAAAAAATGCCTATTTAAAAGATTTAATAATCACTTTTAATTTGTTCTTGAACTTTTTTTAAAGAGTCTGTGAATATTTAAGATTTATGAATCATTTCTGTCCCTGAACATTTAAAACTTGAAAAACTTCACCACCGAACACTTAGGTTGATTGGCAAAAGATTATCCTAACTTAATCAAAGATTTCAAGTTCAATTCTTTAGGAATGCAGCTATCGTGGTAAATTCCCCTGGGGATGTGGCTTCCCCTAGAAATGGGATACCAAATGCTATCATGCAAAAAAATTGAAAAGCTTCATTATTCTCCCATCACACACCTTAATGCCTCTGTTAAAAGCTCAGTACATCTCATACTTGATAGCTTCCTCTAATACCACGTTGCCTTTTTCTCATTTGTTCCCTCATGTTTTATTTCATATGAGCCACATCATCTCCATTTCCTAGTCTCCAGTTCCTCCCTCCCCTCACTTTTTTTCTCACCCTATTTCTAGCTGCTATCGAATTGCCAAGGTTTAACGATGCCAATGATGATGTTGAGCTACCATAGTTACAAACAATGATAATACCTAAAAAGAAGCAATAGTAGTATCGATCTTTAAGGCCTGGTCGTCTACATATGATAATTGGTGAAACCATGTATGAAACTCACTATAGAGTACCACCTCTTTATGATGACGATGTTGTTAGAGTTGGAGATTTGTTGGTGTGATGACATAAATCTTCGTGGCTACGATGAAAAAGAAGACGATGGGGTTGGTGATGGTGAAGATGAAGAAGAAGAAGATGCCACATGCATGAATGCAAGAACCTGAACCTCTTTCTTGCTACTCTATTTGCCTCTGCTTTTATTCCAAAAACAAAGATAAACAGAATAACATAGACACATGGCAAAACAAGCTAATTAGTAAAGCAAACTTGCTCACATCCATGATGTCGATATCAGATTACAGTACTCATGATCATGGTTTGCTCTCATCGATAATGCCAACTCCCACATCAAGTCACCCACACACACACACAAAAACTTAGTTCTTGACTTGCATGGTTTTGATCCAATGAAACACCTCCGAAGTACCCCCCATGACATCATCATAAGCTGCCAGTAACCATTACTCAAGAGCATGTCACATTGGTTAAGCCGAGATCAAGAATTGAAATTTTAGACTTCCCGTCTTTCAAACCTTATACCTTTTTTCTTTGTCAATTGAACTTAAATGCGCTTATAATTATTATATAAAAAATTAAATATATGTTATATTATAAAAAATAATATATGACTATTTATATAAAATAATACACATATTATATTTTTGGATAAAATGACAATCTAACCCTTAATTTTTTAAAAAATTATTTTAAAAATTTAGTTTGAACTTTCTATATCAGTTATTTTAAATACTAGGAGTGGAAAATCAATAATTTTTTATAATTTTTTTCATTTTTAAGAAATTGAAAAACATTTCACACTAATTATTTAAAATAACTTTTATAGAAAGTCCATAATTTATATTTTTTTATCTTTTAAAAGTAATATCAAACTTTTTAGATTGGTTCATATGACAATCGATGTAGAAAGTAGTTTTTACATTGATTATTTATAGAACTAGTGTAAAAAGTCATAATTTTAGTTTTTTTAAAAAAATTAAAAACTTTATAAATCAATTATTTTAAATAATGAACGTAAAAAGTGATTTTTTATTAAAAAAATTAAGACATTTTTTACACCAGTTAAACCCTCACCCAATTAGAAACTAATTTTTTGAAGAAAAAAATTCAAACACTTTCTATATTGGGTAGACCCTCACCTAGGGCAAAAACAAATTTTTTGATTTTTTTTTTTTTTAAATTATAACTTTCTTCACCAGATAGCAAGTCACTTGATGTAGAAATATTTTCTTTTTTATTTTTTTAAGAAAGAATCATTTTCTACCCCAAATAGAAAACTACTAGGTGTAAAACTAATTACATATATATCTATATATATTAAAAATATTACAGCTGTACAGTGAAGGATGAGGTCCAAAGAGAAGGGAAGAGGGAGGGAGGGAGGGAGTGAAAGTGATGACTGGGACCTAAGCGAACAACGTGAGCCCCACTGAACGGTAGGGATGGACCCAGAACATAACACATGGGATGGAGCCCATTGGGTGCTCATCATCCTTGAATCAATATCCATATTTAATTTTTTTAAAAAATAAAAATTTATAAAATTATAAATAAATATATTTATTATTAACATATACCATTCGTGTTTAATCAGATGAGGCTAAATTTAATATTAATTTTTTTATAATTTTTTATAAATTGACCATACATATTTAATTTGTATTATTTAAATTTAAAATTTTTAACTTGCTATAGTATTAGATTGAAAATAATTTAAAATAAATCTATATCGTTAATTTATAAAAATTATAAAAAAATTAATATAAAATTTAGACTAATTTGACTAAATATGAATGGTACATATTACTAATAAAATATATTTGTTTAAAATTTTATAAATTTTTTTAAAAATAAAAAAAGATAGTTAAATAAATCTAAACGGTCCAGATTGATTTAAGAGTTATCACCTCTGATGAGCACTAAATATGCTCTCCACATGGGAGGGGCTGAATTTGAATATTTTTTTTAGGGAAAAAAGAAAAAATTTATCAAAAATTTTGGAGGGAGGGGGGAAGCACCTTTGCATGCCTCCCCTCAGACATATCCCTGCTGCGCAGTACACAAAATTGAATGGCATAAAAAATTAATATCACTAATTATCAAGGGCAATTTTTGACCCCCAAAAAAACCACAGGAGACAATTGATACCTATGGGATTGAGGCATATAACAAACAAGCTACCTATATTAACTAGAGAAATTAAAAATTCTTTGTGGAAGCAGTTGCCCCCTCTACATGACGGACGAGGGGTCTCTTCACTTTTTCCCCTCCCTTTCCCTCCACTTCCCCCATTCTCACTATTCAAATTTTTTTATTAAACAATTTTTTTAAATAATAAAATTAATGAATGGTGAGAATGGAGAAAGTGGAGGGAAATGGAGAAAAAGTTGGGAAGTGGGTCTCTCCACTTCCTTTTTCTCAATTTCCCTCCACCCCTGGTCCTAATGGTTTGAGAGGAAGCACAAGAAAACACGCCACAAAATTCGAGGCGTCATAAAAGCCTCAGCCACGGGGTGCCTATGAATACTAAAGCTGCACAATGCCATCAAAGTGATTTAATTTCCTTCTGAGTAACATATAAAGGAAATTCAATGAGTTTATCGCTTTGTAAGTTAGTATAATAATATGATTTATTTTTCAGTTAAGTTTTATTATTATTTTTATTTTGTCTAGAGTAAGATAATTTAAATCTGTCCTTTCTTCTTACTCAATTCAAAATTAAAAATGCTCTGCATGCTCGAAAAAAAAATTGATGCAAAAAGTTTCAGCAACCATAACAATTAACAAAAACAAAAAATGACTTGATTTATGTATCAAACTAATGAAAGTTACTTTTTAGCTTCAGCCAAAACACCCGCGCGAGGATCATGCGGCATTGAATTGTTTTTTAAAAAAATTAAGTTGATATTGACTCTGGTCAAATTCAATAGTAGCTCTTTTGAGATATATATATATATGTGTGTGTGAGATAATGACAAATAATTCCAAATAAAAAAATGATACTTTGGTATCGCAAAATGTGATAATATTTTCTAATTTTCAAGCAATTTAATTATCATTAAAATTTTTAATTAAATAATAAAAATATCCTTTAACTTAAAAAAGCATGATGAAAATTTTTTTATTCACTACTCTAGTTCAGCAAATATTAAAATGGTTTAACCATTCACAATTAGCAAAGTGTGACAAAAAAATTTTCATTCACAACTTTAGTTATGAAATTCAAAACTCTAATTTAGTAAATAACTAAAATGGTTTAGACATTTATAAATTTCTTTCATTATTTTTTTTAATTAACAAAGTGCAACAAATTTTTTTTTTATAACTTTGGTTCTGAAATTTACAAGTTTGATTCAGTATATAATTAAAATGGTTTAGGCATTTACAATTTTCTCTTACCATTTTTCTTCACTTGTTTTAATTTAATGGATGTTTTTATCATTTCATAAATTTTTTTAAATGACAACGAAGTCTTTTAGGACTTATAAGACACTATCATATTTTGAGAGACTAAATTATTCTTTTTGAAATTTTTTGTCATTCTCTCTTTTTTTATTTATTTACAAGGATTGAACTTTGAATCCTCAATTTTATTCAAGAAGAATGAAATTTTCTCCACTCAATTCAACCATGGTTAAAGTTTTGGGACTTAAATCTTATAAAGTTGAGATTTATGAATTTATCTAAAGTTTTTTTGTTTGGTATTTTTACTCATTTTATTATTTTTATAAAATATAAATTATTTTCTCTTTAAAAAATTTCATGAAATTTATATATTCTCAATTTCAGAGGATTCTTTCCATAAATTTTTTGTGAGGTTTAACTAGAAGTAACTTTATAACATGAAGTGATGGTAAAGTTGTAGCAAACAATGAAGTAAACATTAAAGTTTTTGAAGCGACGTAAGTTAAAATTAATATGCACGGACAGCTGATGGAAATTAAGGCCGACCATGGCTAGAGGTTGAGCTGTATAAATAATGGTACCACAACTACCATTAATAAATCACGTTTTATAAATATTTTATTCAATTTTTATAGTTAATCTTTAACTGTTATTACGGTAATCTTTCAAACATATCAGAAAAACTTCTATCGTAACTGAGGGCATTTTCACTCATTTTTCTGTAGAGATATATATTAGATCAAACTTATGTGGTGCGGTCTGATTATTATTATTTTTCATTATTGTGGACCGAACCTTTTTTGTTGTTGTATTTATTGGATATTTCATTTATATAAAAAATTTCACACGAATCAAAACGGACTGAAAATTAGCTCAACATTTATTGTGTTGGATGGAATTATAAATAGAGTGGGAATCACCTTCTGATATTTGGTTTTGTATCAATCTCAATGTTTGAGAGCTCATTGAAGTCATTTCTTTTGTCAAGAGATCCTCATTTAAGTCATTTTAAGAGTGAATGAGTTAAGGTCACGGACCTAAATGTCCTTTCTATTTTCCAGCATTATATATCATATATTTCCTCTTGTTCCAATACAAATTATGTACATTAAAAAATGCAATTGTCTTTATAAAAAAAAAAAATCTAACGAAAGATTGACTTATTTTCAGGTTTGCCTTTGTCTAAAACTAGCACTCATAATTTTCCATGCCTAATTATGTAGCCCCGTTTTAACCACCATGGGGGTAGAAATGAAATGATATTCCTTACAACTACAAAATGTCTTACAAAACAGCATAGTTAGTGAAAACATGAAATGGTTTAAAAACTTAAGAAAAGGTGGTAACTAAATGACTAAAGAAACAGTTTAAAACATGAAAAGGTGTGGTATTTTTGGATTTAGGATGTGCAAAATGGGGAAGTAGGTTACCAAATTGATTTGGCTCTAACTACTTTCTCTCCCTTTTCTCTTGCTTTTAGCTCCACATTCATTAACTTTACCACTCCCTCAATATCTCATCCCATTATATATTCCTCATTGTTATCACTATCTACACATACTCCTCCTTTAACTTACACCTATGGACTGGTTTTCCTGGCTCTCTCAGGCCAACCTCCACCCCTCCCTTACTTACGATTATGGTGTCACCTTCGCCCGCAACGAGCTCGAGCCCCCCGATGCTGCCTTCTTCGACCACGAGTTCCTCCAGAGCATGGGCATTTCCGTAGCCAAGCACAGGCTCGAGATCCTCAAGCTCGCCAAGAAGGAGAATGCAGCCAACAAGAATCTCTCTCGAGTCGTGAAGAAATGTTGGAAGAAGTGTGTGAGGAAGTTCGTTGCCTCTCGTGATGAGGCTGTGAAGGAGATTCCGTGTGAGCCAAGCTGGCGGATCGAGAGGAGAGGGTCGATGAAAGAAGAAAAGCCCAAGCCCATGGGTACTCCCAAAAGAATGAGAAGCTTAACACTTTCTGGGCCTTTGGAAGGACGAGTGCATGAGAAGGTGATTACTAACCATAAGGGGTTGACACTTTCTGGGCCTCTAGATGGAAGGTTGGTTCACCCAAATCAAAGCCCAATGATTTCCAGGCCCATAGATTATGGAAGGACGATAGGCTTGGCGGTGAGCCCGAGAGTATCTGGGTTTCCGATGCCTGGAAGTAGGAGTCCTAGGGCCAATTGGGCTTCCGATGTGGTGGCTGATAGCCCAATTGGCTTCAGTCCCAGTTATCACAATAAAAATGCAAAATCTGAGTACGATTATGATGGCGAGAACACCCAGTGGCTCGCAATGTTTCAAGATCTGAAACCAACTTGAATAATTTTCCAGATGTGGATTTTTCTCTTCTTTTCCTGGCTTGTTCTTGGAAGGGTGAATAATACCAATTAGCAACGCAGTTTATTATTAGTGTATCTAGCAGGTGATCAAGTGTGTCTCAGAATCTTTTTTTTTCTCCCTTCTCTTCTAAATCTCTCCTGGTTCTGTTTGAATTCGTCTTATGTGTACATGCTGAACATCATTTTTTTTTTTTGGCCAAAGCATGCTGAAACATCTTTCAGTTTTCACCCGGCTTAGGACATGATCTCAAGGTTGAAGAGGCCAGTAATTGAACATACCCAAATTTTCTTTCTGCATTTAAGCAAGTGCGTTACTCACTAACCCATGCAAGGGTTACTGATTGTATGGAGTATCAACTATGAACAGAAGATCACAATATATAAGAATATGAATTTGGATTCCCGTCATAGAAGAGACAGGGCCTAGTTGTACCATAGTGTTGTGACCTCTCGTAATGAATGAGTTCAAGCAAGCAGAAAGAGAGAGAAAATTGTAAATACAATTTTCAGCGCAGCATGCATACCCAAATAAGAATTTTCTTAAATATTAAATACCGAAATTTTGAACTTGCATTACACTGAAAAGTACAGGAACTCAGATACAACTCAAATTCGTGATCGCCTCAAATTAATACCAGGCAATTTTATATATATGTATATGCACCTTATAGTATCACAAATATCAGACTCGTATAAATATCGCAGACCTTCAAGTATCAGAGAGTAGTCTCAAGACTGTGGACCATCTTAATGACTAGAAGAGGATTGGGGAAGCCTAAAAGATCCCCCAGAATAAAGCATTTGATAGACAGGTTTCACCCTAATAGTCAAAATAATGCTCAAGAGGGTGCCTACAGCAGAAACGCCAGCAAGAACCAAAAAGGTCAGCTTAAAGCAGGAGGGACCAACGCAGGCCTTAGTTATAGAATCATCCAACAGGTGGCTCAGACCATGTTGTTTGGCTGCTTCGGCATCGTAGATATTGCCAGCTAAGAGAGCAGAGAAAAGGAAGGCGCCAAGAGGGTTCCCCAAGCAAATGAAGTTGTAGAGAACGCCAAAGTGTTTCAAGCCAAACAACTCAGAAACTGCAGGAATCATTACAGAAAACTGCACGCCATAGCAGATTCCCAGAAATGCCATGGCAGGATAGAGGGTTCCACTCACAGCACATGCAAACAGCAAGTACAAGATGATCATTATTATCTGTGTGCATGTCATCCACACTGTTCGTGGGATTGTTTTTGTTCTGCACTCAAAAGAAAAGTATATATAAATCTGGCGGAAACATTTGAATGCATGGAAATGAATTCTGGTGGTCTCCATAACACACCAAGAAGTGGGTGAGTTAAGTGCATTTACGACAAACTTTTGCTATGGTTCAAAGATAGCTAATATAAAGGTTTAGCTCAATATGAAAACTTCATTGTTCCATTAACTTTTATCATCTGTTTGACTATTTGAAGTGATATTCTCCATTGCAGTTCTAATGTAATTTCTGAAATGTACCCAGATAACACGTAACTGACCTGACAAAATATTCAGAAACAGCTCCTCCACCAAGCCGGCCCACAAAATTGCAAAAGCCGAAAGTGGACAACAAGATTGTGGTGCTTTCCACACTTTGTGCGATACCAATTTGTGCTAGATTATTTACCACAGTAACCCCAGTTCCTGCACCAACAAAGAAAACCAGAAACAGAAGCCAGAAATCAGCTTTGATCACTGCCTCCCGAAATTTAAAATCTTCCCCCCTTTTAGGCCTCCTCTTCTTCTTATGCACTGCTCCTTCACCCACGGCAAGAAGCATAGCCACCTCAGATGAATCATCGTCATAAAAACTCCCAAGTGTTGCTGACGATGAAGATGCTGAAAGCAGCAAAGGTTCTGACTTCTCTTCGTGCTCTGAAGATCCTACTTGTACCTCATGTGCCTCTGGTTTGATGACTTTTCTGGGAAATAATGTCATTTTTAAAGGGACAGCAAGAGGAGCCATGAGAAGGAGGATCATCACAAAAACTGAAACATAGGATGCTACACCACCCAAGGATACAACATCGCCAATTACTGTGGTTGCAAGAAGGTATAAACCTAGAACAACACTAGACGCTTGGATGAAGACAAAATGGCCATTCTCTGAGGAGTCTTCGCCAGAAGCAGGAGTGCAAGGCCTGACAAGAAACATCAAGGTGAAACATGCAATGGGAATGCCAAGGGCAAGGAACAAGAGGAACTTGGAAGAAGAATTGTGAAGGACTACGCTGTAAACTTCAGTGAAAACTGTAGCACTTAAGCCTAGATAGCCTTTGAGGATTCCAGCAACTGTGCCTCTACTCGCAGGGAAGTTTCTCATGTTCGTGACAAGAACAGGTGTGCTAAACCATGTACTACCGTTGGTGGCAACAACTGAAGCAATCCATAACTGCAAATCAAGTATCAACGGAAGAAGATATGAAATTAGAACCATGTATCAGCCAGTTAAATCTATTTTGAAATTGGCCAAAACTTGGTACGGTTTCCAAAGATAATTATGATTAGCTTTTGGAACAAAAATATGACATGAGGATATTATTTATACTTTACATCTTAGCACCACATTATGTCTTTCCCAAAAAGTGTTAACCCCTACATTTTATGCCATTGTCAAAGAACCCAATATTAACACTTATCAGAAACTTATGCAGTGTATGATTTTGCATTATAAACATAACTTTGCAGCGGAACGTGGTTTTGCATTGCAAACGTGATTTGGGAGCATGCCAACACAGAAATAAACAAAGCACACACTTAATTTAGTTCAAGTAAAAGCTCACGAAGGCTAAGGCAAAAATCTAGTTCCATCACAAAACCCCCCCTTTATGAGCTCGAAGTGAAAGCTCAGGCACTAGATTTCGTGTCCAAACTTGAATAAGAATAAGAGTAACACGAATTTACACCTACATTGATCATATGAAACTGTAATATTCTATCGCTGTTGATTTCCAAAAGAACTAGTTATTTAATGAAGTGAGAGTGGTAAAATGTTTTCATGGTAATCAATGGCAAGATTAAAACATTATAGTATACTCGAGTCTAAACCAATACATAAAAGGCTAACGTGTAATTGGTCCAGAGAAATACAACCCTTATCGCTTTCTCTTCGACTTAATCTTTCGTGCCCTTGTTGAATTATGCACTTAAAGAAAAATAAATAAATGATTGGGTCCAAAAGAAAAGGCTAAAATCAAAATGCATCGAGTTCAAGGATGCATATATTTTATGCTTAATTTTGAATTTGAATTAAGTGACTATACTTTAATACAAGTATTGAGTGTCTGTAGTATTTGAATCATTAAAATTCAGATTAATCATTCAGATAAAGTCACTCATTTATTAATCAATCTTAAAGGAGATATGAATTTAAAATTATTAATTTAAATTTTAATAATTTAAATACTACATGCATGCTAGTTACTGAATCTAAATCCCCTGATTTTAGAGACTGAGCAATAAGAAAGCGTAGCTTTTAGATTCTCTCAAGAAAAAAAAAAGGGTCGAAAGAAAATAGGCGGAAGAAATTCGAATCAACAGAATCCACAGATGCAAATCTTGAAAATTGACGTCAAAATAAACCAGACGGCGCGAGTGGAAAGTATAAGACGTTTGAATCAACTCACTGCAATAATAATTAAAAAGAAGAAGAAACAGACTAATAAAGAGGCAAAAGAGAGAGAAGGACGGACATACCAACCAGTAAGGAAGAGAGAGAACAGTGCGGCTAATTGAAAGCCAGAGGACGCCATAGCCAAGGAAAGAAAGAAGAGCGCCGATGGAGAGGATGAACCAGGGAGGGAACTTGTTGGAGACGAGACCAGGAAGGAGACCAACGTTCTCGCCAATGTCGTTGGCAACACCAAGCAAGGCGATCTGGCGCTGGTTAAATCCCAGAACGGATCTGAGCGAGTGAGAGTAGAGAGGGAAGCCGTAAGAGGATCCAGAAGCTATTTGAAACCACACAGCAGCTCCAAGCCCCACCCATGGCGGTCGAGTACCTCCTTTCAGATCCGCCATTTCACTCACAGTCAAGCTTTGCCGGCGTAGGATTCAATGAGGGGGGGGGGACAAATGTAGGAACACTTTACTTGGAAGGCGGAGGTAGGAACTGGGAAGGTAGGTCCAATATTAATCAAGACGGCGCGCGAGCGCGCACACAGACAGAGACAGAGTTGAGTTTAAAATTGGAGGTGAAGGGACGGTGGACGCCCACTCTGACTTTACCTCCATTGATGTCTCACGCGTCAGCTGTAAAAGATATGTACTTGCTTTCCAAAAATTCGCTGCTAAGTTTCAGTTTCAGCCTTCCACGTAAGAGAAGAAGCTAAATTATTACCTTATCTTAGAATAAAAAATTTAATTTTTTTTTTATCAATTTTTTGAGAAAGGTTAGCAGATTGAATATTTAAAATTTGAGAAATTGAACTCCGCTAAAATAAATTGCAATAAATGAGTTGTAATCAAAGCGACCGTCCTAAAGCATGATCCATTTCCAATCATATTTCACATGCAATTACAAGCACCTACTCACTCTAAATCACAATATAATACATCTTTTAAAAAATTTATTTAATTTAAAATATAATGAATAGTTTTTATAATTATTTTTTAATTATACCTTTAATTTGTTTATTAATTTTTTTAAAAAAATTATTATAATTTAGTTTGTTATTATTATGACACTTTTATACAGTATTTAATTAGAGTATAATTAAAAAATATAAAATTTTTTAAGAGATTAAATTTTTCCTAACTTTTTCTAAAAACCATGAAATAATTGACAATATTTTATATTATGATTCAGAGGCTATGTTTTACTTTTATAAAAAAAAATTATGTCTTTCCTTTTTTTTTTGTTCTTAATCCTTTTATTATGAAAACTGAGAAACACTGTTTAATCAAATTATATTTCTCATGTTCTATATCTTAATTAAAAGGTAAATTTAGACAGATAAATTTAAAAAATATTAAGACTTGATTTGAATGAAAGGAAAAAAAGATATATTAATAAAAGAGAGAAAATAGCTTATGAGGAGCAAAAACTGGGGTTCCTAGTATTCTCCATCCTCAAAAATAATAAATTCTTTACTTTACTATTTTTTATAGTTTTAACTCTTAGTATTCTTTCTTTTTTATTTTTTCCCTATCCAAATTAAGGATAGGTATCTTATACTTCAGACGAGGAAAAAAAAAACCATGTTTGAACAAGAGAAAATAGTCACAGACGAAATTTGGAATAAGAGAGAGAAAAAAAGTGAAGAAAAGCAGAGCGAAAGAAAAGCGAGCGGAAGAAAAATAAATATGAACGCCCGTGAAGCATGTGTGCCATGAAACAAGGGGCATTATTTAATTCTAATCCTCCTCCTACAGTTATCTTCCACATGATACTATTAATTAATTAATCTGAATTTAATTTTTTTTTAACTTGATTAACCCCTTTTAGTAAAAGAATCACATTCTTTATTAATTGAGGCTGCGCGTGGCAGCGTAAGGCAAGACATCGCCCTACCTGATATCCGGCCCAACATTCAATTCGTGTCAGCTCGTTGCTCGAGTATTTGGGCTGGGTTTAGTCCCTTCAACCAAAAACATTTTTTGAATTTTTTTTTCAAAAATAGATTAAAAAATTTTACTTGAAAATTATTATTATTATTATTTAAAATATATTATTTATAAAAATAATATTATAAATAAAATTATTTTTAAAAATTACATAGGGTTAACAACTACCATTATTTTTATGCAACATTAAGTCTAAAAAAAATTTAAATTTTGAAGGAGATTAAAAAATTGTGATAATAGGAAATGCCAAAAATGTCATAAAAATAATTCAACTCATGATAATTCTTCACAAAAGATAATATCATAAAATAAATATAAAATCCCAACCCAATGTGATCGAATGCTCAAATGACTCAGACAGGGTTGAATTGATTAGGCTTTTGTGTAATGTGTGTAACCCTGATATCACTTGCCTTTTTATTGGTTATATGATATATCATTCTGATTTTTATTACAGAACATCTTCTAACAATGATGGAGCCACTTGTATTTCAGGGGGGGCAAATGCATCCTCAACTTGGGTGAAATTTTAACTATGGAATGTGTTTATCACTTTGTTCAATTAATTTAAAAATTCTGACCCCTGTGTGTGAGGGAGATGAGTAGAACAAATGAAAATGCATAGAATGGCCCAGTGAAAATAAGGAAGAGTGAAAACTCTCGTCAACTTACTTCGTCCTTTTTACGAGGGATAAAAGCATCAACACTCAACTCTTTTTTTAATTTATCATTCTCATTTTATAAAATATTTGTAAGGTAATTTAGTATCTTACAATATAAGATGTCTTGAACAAAAAAAGATAAAAAAATTTTAACCATAAATATTTCAATATTATCCCTCGTTATTTCACTCTTTAAATAAATTTTCTTCCCTCCTCTAAAAGGTATTATTTTTTAAAGTTTATAGAAATGTTAAGACTGTAAACTATATTTTTAAAATTATTTATTTTCAAATCCAACTTTTTCACAACAATATAACTTTTAAATTTATTTAGTTGTTATTTCATATTCAATTATTTTTAAAATATGAAATCACAATAGTAAGGCATGTAATTTTTTAAAAAATTATTAAATTTTATTTTCATAAGACTTTTTTTAAATTAATTAAAGTTGCACCCCCTTAACTTAGATCTTGGTTCCACCATTGCCTAGAGAAATTTTTTTCTTAATATAAAGTATTTGATGGAGGATTAATTATGTTTTTCAATATCACCTCTATTTAAACTCATTAACTATGAGAGAGAATATAATATTAATTTTAAAAATTTTCATTTAAACAAGAGTAAGATTAAAAATTTATTCTATTTTTAGATAAAATTATTAACTTAATCTCCTTTCTCGAATTCTGATAAAATAGTTGGAGGTACCTTATAATAATAATTACAAAGAGTATTTATTATAAATTATAAAATTTATAAAAACCACCTTTTTAATAGAAATTATATTAACTTAAATTTTAGGAAAAATATCATTCAAGAACAACTGAAATAATTTAATATTAAATAAAGATCAAAAGATTCTAAAATATCATTTTAGGATAAGGGGATTGATTTAAAAATAATTTTATATGAAAAAAGACCATAATATTTATGGTTGTCTTTTTTAATTAATAAGTAGCTATTTGTTAATTAACAAGTGCCCATTTTCAAGAACTCATTCATCAATTGACAAATTTAAAAATATAAAAGAGTTTGATTGTGAAAAGAGATAAGGATAGATCATGTTTTAATAAATAATTATTTATTAGTTAACAAATACCTATTAATATTTAATAAAAATGATTCCTAATACAAATTTAAAATTATGATAAAATTTAATTGCAAGAAGGGACAAGTGTAAATAATAATTTGACAAATAATCATTTGTCAATTAAAAAATATTCATTTTTATTTAACAAAAAATCATTTACTTAATTGACATATTTAAAAAGAAAAAGAAAAAATATGGGTATTATAATCTTTTCTATTTAAAATTATTTTTAAATTAATCTTCTGATCTTCCAGTACTATTTCACAATCTTTTACTCCTTGTTTGACATTAAATTGCCACAGCAAACCTTAAATGATAGTTTCCTAAATTTTATCTAAAATACCAGTGTCTTTTTCAAAATTATTTTCGTAAGCAGCACGAGAGAATCCAAATAATTCGTGACACTTGTTTTTAAATAAACGAAAATTATAAAACACGACTGCCTTGAACATGACAAATGTGAATGCCATATCTTTCTTATAAAAGTAAGACGACCTCCAAGACGTCTTTCTCTTGATGCCTCTCTCCATACACAATTTCTTCTATTTATTTAATTGTGAAAATATCTCCATAATAAATGAGATCAACTCAGAGGAAGAAGAGAGAGAACTGAGAATTGTTGATACAACTTTCAGCTGAACATGCATACCCAAACCAGCAATTTTTTTCACAAATTAATACCAAAATATTGAACTTAAATTATACTGATAGATACAACCACTCAGCTAGAGATCAAATGGGTGATCGCCTCAAGCTGATGCTAAGCCGTGCGCGCGCGCGCGCGCGCGTCTTATAGTAATACAAATATCAGACACGTGTGCATATCTCAGGACTCAAGTATTAGAAGTCACAAGACTCAATGTCATTTTAATGGCTTGAAGAGGATGGGGGAAGCCTAAAAGAACCACCAGAATAAAGCATTTGATAAACAGGCTTCACTCTAATAGTCAAAATAATGCTCAAGAGGGTGCCTACAGCAGACACTCCTGCCAGAACCAAAAAGGTCAGCCCAAAGCAGGAGGGACCAATGCAGGCCTTAGTTGAAGAGCCATACAACAGGTGGCTCAGACCATGCTGCTTGGCTGCTTCAGCGTCGTAGACATGGCCGGCTAAGAGGGCAGAGAAAAGCAAGGCGCCAAGAGGGTTTCCCAAGCACATGAAGTTGTAGAAAATGCCAAAGTGCTTGAGGCCAAATAACTCAGAAACAGTAGGAATCATTACAGAAATTTGCACGCCATAGCAGATTCCCACAAATGCTATTGCAGGATAAAGAGTTCCACTCACAGTATATGCAGACAGCAGGTACGAGATGATCATTATTATCTGTGTGCATGTCATCCACACTGTTCGTGGGATTGTTTTTGATCTGCACATTATCTCAAAAGATCAGTATCTAAATCTGGTGGAACAGTGAAATGCATAACTCTGGTATTTTCCACGACAAACCAAGCAGTGGGTGAGTTGTGTGCATTTACAACAATCTTTTCTATAGTTCAAGGATAACTATTATAAAGGTCTAGTTCGATATGAAAACTTCATTGTTCCATTAACTTTATCATCTGTTTATTTGAAGCGATATTCTCCGTTGCAGTTCTGATTGTAATTTCTGAAATATATCCAAGTATAACAAGTTACTGACCTGACAAAATGTTCAGAAACAACTCCTCCACCAAGCCGACCCACAAAATTGCAGAAGCTGAAAGTCGACAAGAAGATTGTGGTATTTTCTACTCCTTGTGCAATCCCAATCTGTGCTAGATTATTCAGCACAGTAACCCCAGTTCCTACACCAACAAAGAAAACCAGAAACAGAAGCCAAAAATCAGCTTTGATCACTGCCTCTCCAAACTTAAAATCTTCCCCTCTTTTAGGCCGCCTCCTCTTCTTATTCACTGCCCCTTCACCCACAGCAAGAAGCATAGCCACCTCAGATGAATCATCATTTGATTCATAAAAACTCCCAAGTGTTGCTGACGATGAAGATTCCGGAAGCAACAAAGGTTCTGACTTCTCATCACGCTCCAAAGATCCTACTTGCGCCTGAGGTGCCTCTTGTTTGATGGCTTTTCTGGGAAACAATGTCATCTTCATAGGGACAGCAAGAGGAGCCATGAGGAGGAGGATCATCACAAAGATCAAAACATAGGACACTGCATCACTTAAGGAGACAACATCATTAAGTACTATGGTTGCCAGAAGGTATAAGCCTAGGAATACACTAGAGGCTTGGATGAAGACAAAATGGCCATTTTCCGAGGAGTCTTCCCCAGAAGCAGGAGTGCAAGGCCTGACAAGAAACATCAAGGTGAAACATGTAATAGGAATGCCAAGGGCAAGGAACAGGAGGAACTTGGAGGAAGAATTGTGAAGGACCAGGCTATAAATTTCAGTGAGAACTACAGCACCTAAACCTCCATAGCCTTTGAGTATTCCGGCGACTATGCCTCTGCTCACAGGGAAGTTTCTCATGCTGGTGACAAGAACACCTGTGGTTAACCATGCACTACTGTTGGTGGCAACAGCTGAAGCAATCCATAACTGCAAATTAAATGTCAACGGAAGAAGATATGGAATTAGGATTAAGTATCAGCCAGCTAAATAAAGAAGCTGGACAAAACTTGGTGCAGTTTTTGCAGATATTTATGATCAGTTTTTGGAACAAAAATATAGCGTGTGGATATTATTTATAGCTTAGCATCACATAATTTCTTTTCCAAAAAAGTGTTAATCCCACGTACAATGCCATCATCGAAGAACCCAGTATTAACATTTACTAGAAACTTATGCAGTGTCTGGTTTTTCGTTATAAGTATAATTTCATTGCTAAAACATAATTAAAACATACTCGTAAAACGTCATGAAATCTTTTATCATTATTCATCACAGAAACCCTTCTTTGAGCTTGAAGTGAAAGCTGAGGACAAATTCACGAGATTGTGGCCAAACTTAAGGATGACAGTAATTTACTCTTAACTCGATCATAGGAAACTTCAATATTATGTCGGTAGTAATTGATGCTACTAGTTTATGTTATTTAAAGAAGTAAGAGTGACAGTAAAATGCTTTTATGTGTAACAAGATTGAAAAATTTATTTCGATTATAAACCAGTGGATGACTAGAACAACAAAACGAAAGGTCCAGAAAAACACGAATTATTTATATCGCGCCCTTGTTGAATTATCCTCTCAAAGAAGGTTCAATAAATAATTTGGTCCAAGAGAAAAGGCTAAAGTGTACTAGTTTCGTGATTGTAAGATTGCATTCATTTGGTGCCTTATATTAGAGATAAAACAATATGGGGAATACATCTTTCATTTGTAATAGATACATGTCGGCTAGCTAGGAGCTAGTAAGGAAAACAGTCAAAACCAAAACAAACAGAAAAAATAAAGTGGGATGCGACCCACTACAGTCTTGTAGAATACATCTTTCCAAGGCTAACTTTTAGAGCCTCTCTTAAAAAAGGAATAAAAAAGCTCAAAGAAAAGTAGGCAGAGGAAATTCAAATCAAGAGAATTCACTGTACTAAGAATCACAAAGAAGAAGAAATAGACAAAGGCAAAATCAGAGGAAGAGAAGGATGGGCATACCAACCAATAAGGAAGAGAGAGAAGAGTGCGACTAACAGAAAGCCAGAGAACAGTATAGCCAAGAAAAGAGATAAGGGCACCGAGGGAAAGAATGAGCCAAGGAGGGAACTTATTGGAGGCGAGACCAGGAAGAAGGCCAACGTTCTCGCCAATGTCGATGGCGACACCGAGCAAGGCAATCTGCCGCTGATTAAAACCGAGAACGGATCTGAGAGAGTGAGAGTAGAGAGGGAAGGTGCAGGAGTTTCCAGAACATATTTGAATCCAGACAGCCGCTCCAAGTCCCACCCATGGCGGTCGACTACCTCGTTTCAGATTCGGCATTCAAACTGACCCTTTTCTTACCAGAGTCAATTGTTGAACGTGAAGAGTTCACTTATTATATATATATATATATATATAGAGTGAGAGAGAGAGAGATGCTGCGACACCTCTCCGTGGAGGACGGAGGAGGAAGACGCGAGAGAGAGATATTTTTGACGCACGCTGGTTTTTCTTTTAAAAAAAAAATTAATTTTTTAATTTTTTAACTTTTAATTCATAACTCAATCCCTCAATTATAAATCACTATAATTCAATCCCTCAATTATAACTTATTTTAACTCAATTTTTCAACTTTTGACTTCCCTATAACTCGATCCTTATTTATTAATTTTTTTAAAAAAAATTTATCAAATAAAAGAGATAAAAAAATATTCATATATTATTTTAAAATACTCTCTTCTTATTCATTAATGTGAGATATAAGCTAACATTAAAAAAATTAACAAAGGTTAAAGGACTAATTTGTAAGTGATTCAAAAGTTGAGAGATTGAGTTATAAGTAATTTAAAAGTTGGAGAACTAAAAGATTATTTTTTTAATAAAAAATTTTTCAAAAAAAAAAATTCTTGACCACATCAAACAAAAGAAGGTTTTTCCATGTGAACATGTCACAAGGTCCATGACGGTTGATAATTCGGTGACAATGTGTAAAATATGGTCCTTCACTATCAATACAGTAATTAATGTCCTTCAATATTAAGATGTCAATTAAGATGTACATTTTCAATATTAAAATGATTATTTAAATAAATAAAATAAAAATTACACTTCTTTAAAAAGTTGTTGCATATCTAAATGGAAGAATTACATATGATTAAAAATACTTGCATATAGTCTTAAAACATGACATTAAGTGTAAATTTTTAAAATATCTAAAATGTTTATTTAAATAAATGGAAAAAAAATTACATTTCCTTAAAAGGTTGTTGTATATCATGAAAGAAGGATCATATATGGTTGAAAATACTTACATATTATCCTAAAATATGACACTAAGTATAAATTTTTAAGATATCTAAAATGTTGCATATTATAAAAGAATGGTCACATATCATTAAATATACTTTTATAGGATCATAAAACATGATACTAAATATAAATTTTCAGAATATCTAAAATATTAATTCAAATAAATGAAAGAAAAATTACATTTCTTTAAATGGTGGTTGCATATGGTAAAAAAATAATTGCATATGTTTAAAAATACCTGTATATAGTCAAAAAATATGACACTAAATGTAAATTTTTAAAGTATACAAAATGATTATTTTAGTAAATGGTAGATAAATTATATTTTTAGGATATTCAAATTACATATTAATATGGCTTAAAATTTGAGGTTATAATATTATACCAACATTGTGCTTTTGGGATATCATAAATATATATTTTAAAAGAGAAAAAAATTATAAAAACAAGTGAAGAAAAGTATAGAGAAAGAAATTGCGCACATTTAAAAAACATCTTACCTGAAAAAAAGAGGATATAGGAATTTTTTTGGGTAAAAACTAGAAAAACTTCATCAAATCAGAACCAAGTTATGGGAGAACATATAAAAAGAGAGATGAGTCACCTAAATCCTTCATCATTCACCATCTTCAATAAAAGATTATTTATCACCAAATCTAAACGTAAAAATAGAATTGGTTGAGCTAAGCTTTGATCAAACAAGCTTGAGTTTATATAATAAGTCAGGTTCTAACCTAAAATTTATATAAAGCTTTTTTCATGGATTAAATCCAAACCTACTTAAAACTTAGCCTAGTCTGAAAACATGTTTAAAAGCTAATTTAAAAACAAACCTTTTAAATAAGTTCACATTTTAATTTTAAATGTTTCAAATATACTTTAAAGCTATTAATATAACTGATTTATCAATTATAAAATATAATAATTAAAAGGGCTTATGAACTATAATACAATACAATAATAAAGTAATAGCATTAAAATCAATATATAAATCTAATTTAATTGAAAATATAATGAAAAATTTAAAAACAAATTAATTAAAAATCAAATTATGAAATTAATAGGCGTGTGATATGTTGCACAGTACGTGTGTGCAAATAGGCCATATGTTGAGCTTGTAGGTTAAGACTAGCCTATTTAAATAAATATGCCTAATTAAATGTTTGAACTTGATCTAAGCCTATTTGATAAATTGGTTGGGTTGGATATAAAGTTAGAGGCTTATTTTCACCCCTAATCAAATCTAATAAATATAATTGGAGTCTCTATACATAAAATTAATGAAAAAGTTCAGTCAACTTATAGGGTGGTTATGCACTTGAAATCTAGTGATGTTGAGTAGTGAGATTGGAAAAAGAAGATATAAGAATTAGGAAAGTATGATAAGCATGTTCGTTAGGAAGGAGAAGCTCTTATTATTATTATTATTATTATTATTATTATTATATAATACATTTCATTTAAATTTGTGTTTTTTTTAAGTGTTGGTTCAAAGTATAGCTAGAAATATGGGCGGGCTTGACTTTTGAAGGCTCAGACCCTTAAGTTCAGTTTTTCATTTTTAGCCCCTTTTTTTAGGCTGGCCCTTATGTAAATGGCTCAGAGTCAAGCCTGAAAGCCATGTTCTAAAAAATTATAATAAAATTAAATGTTATAAATTAATTAAAATATTTTGAAATTAAAAAAATTAAAATTATCACAACATTTTAAAAATTAAATAACATATTTGGAAATCTAAACAACACACATTCATCAAACAAAACTCAAATCCTCCTCATTCTTATTGTCTACAAATAAAACATTAAATCCCTGGAATGTAAGTGCACTTATTGAAGATGGAGGTGAAGATTCAATGTCAATTATCTTTACAACTTCTTTTCCATCACTTACAATAAATATTAACCAATTTGTGTCATTATCAATCAAATATATGCATGTATGTGTATATATATAAGATAAGCAAGCATATTAGGACTTGGAGGGCCGCCCGAACCTAAGCCCTTTCTCATAGAGCTTATCAGGGCTAAATCCTCAAGCCCGATTCCTTTCAAAAAAATAATTTTTAAAGCCCGAATCTTTATTTAAATCGAGCCTCCAAGCCTAACCCTCCAAGCCTAACTCTTATTTTCGGCTCTAATTCAAAATAGAAGACTACAATATACAGATGTGGGCGAGGCCTGAAAAACTTGTAGAAGATTAAGGTAACAAAACATGTATGATAATTGAAATATATATATATTATTGATATAATATAAATATTTCAATGTAAATATTTATATTTAATTTTATAAATATATTACAAAAATAAATAAATAATTTTATTTTTTAAAATTTTCTTATTGATTTTTGATGGTATAAGAATAATTATTATCATATTTATGATAGACTTTTTAACAAATTTCTTCTCAATATAAACTATCATTAAATTTATAAACATTTTATTTTCTTCATGAGCATTAAATGATTTAAATGCATAATTGAGATATAAAATTCTATTAAATCTAAGAAGCTTTATTACTTACTTTCTAAATTTACTATTTAATTATTATTACTATTTCAATTGATAATCATAATAAATAAACATATTAGCACAGTGATAATGCCTGATTGTCACAAAAATTTCATGTCAATAAGATTAAACTATATCCTAATAAAAACAATTCATATCATAAATCTCAATAGCTTGATTATTATAAAAATAATAATAATTTTTTTTAGAAGAAGATATATTAATCATGATTTCTTAACTTTTAGAAATTGATTTTCATGTGAATATCAAGCACGTAACATTCAATATATTTTTAAATTTTTGCTGTAATAATTGACAAGATTTGCTAGTAATAAGTCTTATAATTTTTTCATTAAATATAAAATAAAAACAAAATCAAATAATATTAATACTTTATCTTGAAAGCATGTGTAACTTTATTTTGATGAAAATAAATAAATGCTATAATAGCTATATTTTTGAGCCATTGAATTAGCTGTATTATATATGTATAAAAGATAGCATATAAAATTAAAATTTTATTTAATATCTCAAAATTTATGTAATGTGTTAATTTAAAGGGATGAAAATATAAAAGATCTGTAAAAGACCTGTCACCATCCTGTGCAGACATATTATCATTTGTCATAATATTGTTTGGCGTAGGACTGTTGGTGAGGTGATGAGTAACCGTGTCCAATTGTACATCTCACAGCTTAAATAATATTCAAATTTAAAAATACTTATAGATTTTTTTTTTTGTGAAAAGAAGATACTTATAGATTATTTGTAAATAAAGCGCTCCCATGAATAATAACATTCGAACTTATACTGCGTGTGAGGGTAAAAATCACATCCTTATTAAACCAATTAAAATTACGTGTTTGGATATAGTCTAGAGGTATGTGCCTACTGCCTAGTACTGCTAACTCAATTTTCATCTAATAATGCTATTTTCACGGCTTGAATTAATATAGGCACGTGGAAATATGCCAAGAGACTGATTATAACCTATAGCATGGCTGATACCGCTTGACCCATTTCAGTAAAAAGAATAGATCTAAGTTTACGATCAAATCTATCTATTTAATTAAATAGGTAGTACTTATTTATTTAATGCCTGGTCTATGAGTCTACTTGTTTATATTTTCATATAATATTCATTTATATATAATAATATATGAATATATATATATAAATGAATGAATGAATAAAAATATAATTAATATAAATTGTGTTAATTTATTTTAAAAATTTTAATTGTATGAGCTGGAAATTAAACTGACAAATAAACAAATAAAATAAAACTTTATTTTATGTTATATTAATTAACTATTATCATAACTATGTAGAACAAAGACTATTATTACAATTACAAATATAAGTAAATATGCAATATACTAACCCCTTACGTCAAATTATAAGATAATTTGAAATAAGATTATACATACTAATAAAACAGAATAATGACACTTTATAAATTTATTTTTTTAAAGCAAAACTATAAACTTTTAAAAATGCTTCTATACATTTAATTATTATACTATAATAACATTTCAATTCTCTCTTCATTTGAAGGATAATATTAACATTAATAAAAATTTATTTTTAAAAATTATTTTATATTTTGGGACAACGAAATTCTTCCTAAGTTATTTTATAATTTGGGACTGAAAGGG